AAAAAAAAAAAAAAAGAGATAGAAGTAAACATTTTTCTGATAATAAAGAAGTTCAAAAATTTAAATTCCTGTGTTCTCTTTCTCTTAATGCTTGCACATAATTTCTTAAATTGTAAAATATTAAGAATGAGAATTCCATTTTTAAGTTAGTTTTTAAATTTATTTTTTCTCTACTATATCAAACTTTTAAAAAAAGTTTATTTTATGATCACAGCTATGGCTACATGCCAATACATATGTGAAGTGTATAAGAGAAGAAAACCAACCGCCAATGTTGGGCTTAAGGGCAAGACATGTCATGTCAGAAGATGAGAGAGAAGAGACTAGCATCTCTAAAAGTTAAATTTGCTTATAAAAATAAAACTTACTTTCTTCTACATCCAACTGCTCTGATCATATGTTAGCCACAGCACATCCTGCATATCCTTTCTCTATACTTTGCTAATTATGGATTAGGAAGGAAAAGGTGGGCTCTGGCTGTCGTGGTACAAAAAAGATGTATAGTTTGAGGAAGAAGCTAAAAATGGAGATTGGTTCTGTGTAGTGGACTGGAAAAGATTGAGAACACTTGTCCAACTGCTTTCTGCATCTATTTTAATGGGTATTGTTTTGCTACAAAATTAGTTACCATCCCTGAAAAGAGCTCTCACAAAGGCCATTGAGAATTGCAAATATGGAATTTGTTACTGTATTCATAAATATAAACGTCTAAAGTATTTATAGATTTCTATTTGTAGAATTAGCAAGACTATCAAACAGATGTTGCACATTTCAAAATTGAGCCAACAAGAGAACTTGTGAAACACGAACCACAAAGCACTCAGGAAGGCATTTTTCACTGCCATTTAAGCTTTTGAAAAATCCCATCACAAAGAATATATAAGTCGTGAGGCCCGTAAACATCCTTTCCAAAGACGTAAAAATCAGACACATGAAATTGGATTATGTAAAATCTGTAAGGCATAACCAAAATGTGTTAATGAAAAGCCCCTCAATCTTGAATGGTGGATATACAATACTTTTCAAATGTATAATAACATACAAGTTTTAACTTATAGATGTTGTTATAATTTTCCTCTTATCTCCCTATTAAGAAAAGCTTAAAATTCAGACAATGTTACATGTTTTCACATGGAAAGTAAATAATACTGATTTTCAGTATGAAGATGAATCATACCTTTTTTGAGTAACACAAAAGCCCCCTGAAACTAAATGTTCTTAAGAAGCATGCAGTTGTAATATTAAATAATATAACTAATTGCTATAAAGACTGCATATTACTATTTTTCAATTATTCACGTTTTTAAATCAACAGATGTTACCTCCATACAAACCTTTCCATTTTAAATTTAAGATTTCAACAAAATGAATGTATATATGAAACTACTGCAAATACATTATTTAAATTCTTAATTTGAAGGCTTAAGAAAATGACATATGAGAATATTTCTTATGTGACTTACTACTATATTTACACTTAATATTATAAAAATTATACTGTATTTTAATCCATAATAACTCATCATATGATAGACTTTAAGCTGTGAATTTTTTGACCATCAATGTTACCTAAAGAATGTAATCAATAAATTTACGTAGATACTAGGGTCATTTTTTGTGCGTGTGTGCGTAATATTTTTCCAAACATTTAAAATGATCCAAATGTTGTAGAACCTATGTTACTAGGTATATATATATATATATTAAAAAAAATTACATTTATAGCTTCTTTGAAAACATTAGCTATAATAAAAAAAAAACATAATGAACTATATTGCTCCTAAAATGCAATAATTTGATAATGCTCCTAACTTATGTTTTATAAATTGATGTACATGACATTAATCTTCATGTTTTCTATATTAATAGTGTATATTACTTTTATCTACCATGGTTCTTTCTTCATTTTTTGTTTTTGTTTTGTTCTGTTTGTTTTTATTTTGTTTTTGCCATCGACTGCATGTACTTGCTGGAGAGAGGCAGTGAAAGAGAGAGAGAGGGTAAGTGAGAAATCACCCTCCACTGGGGTTGAACACATCACAATCCCTTCTTCTCTATTCCTCTCTAGGAATTTTGGGTACACATGCAAGCACGCCTGGTGTGATTTTTCAAGTCTCTAGGTCTGGGACTCAAACCATGGTCAGCTATGTACGGGTCCAGTATCTTAATCACCATACCACCTGCTGGCCCAATCATTGCTTATTTCTTAAACATTGGTAAATAATAGAAAAAAAGTAGCCTTCAATGAAGAGTAAAAGATGTTGAAATGGTAATTTTGTCAATGAAGAAAGTGTTTCACTCTTTAAATGTACAACTTTGGGGATATATTTGGGGTCTCTGTAGTAGTATCCTGAAAATAACACTATAGCGCATGAGCAAATATCCATGCTAATGCATTTAGTTTTGTATATTTTACGTTCTATTTTATCTAAATGTATTGTTTTAGATAACCTTTTAGGTATACCTTAGCAACTTTTATCCAAGTATACTCAAAACTCAAAAACATACTTCAGGGGCTGGCAGGTGGCATGGTAGTTAAGGTACTGGACTTCTTTTTCTGATTGTTTTGATGATCTTAAGGAAAGAAAAAAAAAATTGCCTCCTCCTTACCCCCCCCCGCCCACCAAACCCACTTTTATTCATTAGAAAATGTTTGTGTACTTATTAGAAGTCTACTATTCCAAGAAATAGAACCGAATAACTGAATTAACTGAAAAATGTTGGGAATGAATTAGTCAAGAATTGGATTCTCATATCATTTTGGAAATGTAAGTTTAGAATAGCATTCTGCAAGTAATTGGGTAATATAAGCTGTCAGACTTAAAGTCTATTCATTTTATTACTCAAAATTCATTCTAATACAGATTGGTGAAATAGTTCAGTAAAAGCTTGTTAATTTACATTCCTATTTATCATAGCAATCTAATGGAAATGAAACTTCATCATGAAACTGGTTCAATAAATTTTAAGCAACCATTCAGTCAAAAGTTATGTACCTTTTATAATGACAATTCCAAACAGTACTTAAAAACAGGAATCCCATAAGATGACTAGTAAACATTTGACTGATTTTTAACACTGCTCCTACCTCTTTGCAGTGGGAAAATAGCGAGAGCATGAAGAGCCATCCCAGGCGCAGTACGGGTCTCGGGCGAGGCAGCACTCTGCACAGGCTTTCCCATAGATATCACATCGGTGCAAGGGGAGCTGGGCAACCCCAGCGGTTGAACCAATATAAAGTTGTTGCTGTGAAAAAAGTTGACTGTCATGACAAAAATAATCTTGTTTTGTAAATATCCTTTTTCTTAAATAGTTATCTATACATAGCTCATAGCATTATAATCATTCGTATTTATATATGTGTGTGTCTGTATTACCTATATGTGAATATACACACACACATATATATAAATAAGAATGATAATGCATATATATATATATATATATATATATATATAAGTCTCATTATTGGTAGGTCCTTAAAAGCATGGCAGATAATATGACCTTCTAAAATGGAGCAAGGGCAAATTCTGGGTGCTTAATGGAAGCAGGAGTCTTTTATTAAATATAGAACACATGGAAGATAAAGGACCGTACTACATAGAGCAATGTATTTATTCTTAGCAGGTTTTCATTTTTGCTTCTTCAGTATACAATTCTGCTAAGTCCAGTTATCGTTATTGCCATGAGTTCCAGATGGGCTGTAGGTAGGGATCACCTGCGTCTGACTCCCGGATGCCCTACTTCATTGCCTGTGGTCTGCTGTGCCTTCCAATGAGAAGGGACGGACTGGTGTTTTGGTGCTTCTATTTGAAGAAGTTGTAGAGCAACACCAAGAACTGTCTTGCCCTTGCATTACCTCAAGGGATATTATTTTAAACAAAACTATTACGTTACTTCTCACTGAAAAGATAACCCAAGAAGGGACTTAAGTAAGCTCCGATGTAGTCTACCAAATCAAAACTCCAAGTGTTATGGAAAAAGCACTGCATTGGGCAATGAGGTACCTGGATTCTAGATCTGACCTTCTTCTCGGTGTGACCTTAATCCATTCCTCTACTCATTCGAAAAATTAACTTCCATAATATGAGTATGTTTAACAGATCTTTAAAGTATGCATTCAAATAAAACATTTGACAATGCTGTTATCCTCAATGAAAGTAGTTACTGAATAAGGCAAAATATGCAAGACTAAAAATTTTCTATTAGCTACTAATTCAGGATTGTGGTACAACTTTAAAAATGCCTTCAGCAACAGAGAACTAGTGTAGTCTGTCAGATGCAAATTTATATTAAACCAAAATAAAATATAAAAAATAATTTTGTGGACCAGTAGATGGCATAGAGGTTGAAGCATTGTATCCTGTATGGCTGACTTCACAGTTTGAGTCCCTGACCCAGGAGGTTGAAATCATGCCAGGTGTGTGCATGTGTGCCCTAAATAAAATCCTGGGGGGAGAACGGAGGGGAAGAGATTTTGGCATGGCCATTCTCCCTGGGGAGCAACTTCTCATTTTTTCTCTCTCCTTCTCCCCCTCTGTCTCTCACCAGTGAGAGCACACACTTTAGAGCAAAACTTAAAAAAAACCCTGTAATTTCTCCACTCTCATTGCAATTAATACTATAACTCCCCTTTCTTGTACTAGAGAATTGTATAATTCTGGTAAGTCTTATAAAAGTTATGGAAATACTGACTTCATAATAGTTCATAAGAAAATGTCTCAAAAGGATGTTTCAATTTCTCTAGTATATAGATGAGAAATAAGTTCTAGAACAGTCAGTTTCTAAATAACAATGTGCACTTTTAATATTACAGATTGTCTAACAGCTGGCAATAGATATAATTAATATTACATTTCTAAAGACTTTTATGTTCGGGACATATATGTGTGTGTGTGTATTTTAAATATATATGTGTGTGTATTTTACATATTTTATTTTATGCCAATATATTTTATATATTTATATATATAAATATGGATGTAAAATACATATATACATAAAATACTGTGTATAGTTTTACATATATACATAAAATACTATGTATTTACATATGTATATACACTATACAGTATATAGCATTCAAACAGAATTCTATTAGAATTTAACAAATTATTAAGGTTGTTTATATGGAAAATAGCTCTGTACTTAAAGCTAAGAAACTTGGCTATATTAATGCAAGAAGAGAAAATAAAATGGAAAAACAATCAAATAAAAAGTAAGCCATTGTGGAAGCACTTATCCAGATAAACACTACTATTATATTCCACAAAATGGAATAAAGTTATGACATAAATTACTAGGTGCTTCACTTTTTACTATATTCAACTTTTTTATTATACTGAAAGAGTCTATGAAGCAGGACACATTAAGAAATGATAGTTAATCTGTTAAAAAAAGATCTGTAATCTTTGCTTTATAAAAACAATTTTTTTAAAAAAGAAACAATGGTTAAAGTCCTTGGGGGGGGAGGTGAAGAAGGTAAAGTATTATTAAGCTTCTTTCCTCCTGTCATTTATTTTTTCTCTCAACAACTTTTTTTTGAGTGAACTTAGATTGTACTGAAGGCAAACAATTTCAATGTGATTTTAAAAAAACACACATTAACACAATGGAATAGGAATTAGTTAGAAGGTTGAAAGGACATTCAGAAGAAGAGTTTGCACAAGTGAAGACTACATTCGAATGTGACAATCCATATATTGCCATCAAAACTATTTCTAAAAGCTACTGACTAAGCTGGTCATACAATTAAACAAACAAACAAACAAACAAAACCTATGTTTGCCAAATAACTTAGTAAGATTGAGCAATCTCTCCCTAAAAAAGGGAAAAAAGAAAAATAAGCAAAATGTATACTTACAGATTTTAAAAATATGGCAGTCAAGCAGGAAAACGGTTACTTAAATGATACTAGCTAAATCCATTGTATCTTTTCAGGAGACTAACAGAAATAGTGCATGGAAAGACTTGAAAACCAAAATTATGGGAACTAAAATTATTGTAATGAAAACCTATACTGTGATAAAATGCCAAAAATGAAATACAATTCAATGTCCTTTTTGTTTTACTATAATTCTGAAGGATTGTTAATGATGAGCAAAAATAATTATGCTATTCAAGTGAAATATAGGGTAGGCTTTCAGGCACCACTGAGCATAATCCAGTTACTAGCAAGTAACCCGATGTGCTTTTTCTGCCCAATTTAACATCACCACAGGCTTTTTCACTATCCTCCTTAACAAGTTGTGTGCTGTGAGCAGATGAGCCCATTTATCCAGAAAATTAGTTGTAACACAACTTGTCTTTCTTGAAAGGACTGCCTCATTTTAAAAGTGCCCATAACCACGAGTGAAATGTTGTTATGTCTGAATGAAATACAACTGCCAGTAATTGAAATGAAAGCTAGAATTTCTCTATCATTTTATCTTAAATTAACGGCCTTCTTTTATTTGTTGGCAAAATGTTGTGCTCATAGGTAATTCTTTTTAGGGGGAAAAAAAAAAAAGCTATAACCAGAAAGAAATGTTTTACAAAACTAAGGTAATGTAATTAAGTTTGGCTTGGAAGCTAGCAGAGAATAAATAAATAATTTTAAAAAATCATTACAGGAAAGCATATCCCAGTCTAGCTTCCATCCTGGAAATCCCCGGATTTCCTTGCCAACATCTGACAATTTTTAGATTACAAGAACAGGTGAACACATACTTATGAAGTGTAAGATAACATCAGGTCAATAATATCTGTACTTGGAGTTGCTCTAAATATCTCAGAGATTATCAATCTATTTTGATACGTCTGTGTGGAAAGTATACACACTGAATTTTATTGGCACGGTGATTTAATGTTTTGTTCAAGGGTTAAAACAGTCAGATAAAACGTAAACAATTCATGAATGCGATTTGCCTAGTGATTCTCACGTAATAGAGTTTTGTATATAGGTTTTTACTACAGTTCGTAAGGAGTATCCTATTGCATTCTGGTTCTTTCTGCTGAGACGTTGAGTTATTTAATCATTAATTCTAATTCAGTATTGAGCTTTTTCCCCCCTTTGAGGTTACCATTGATATCCAAGATGAAAAGACTAGGTAATGTTTATCAAGCAAAGATCATTTATGAGGAGATAAAACTGTATTTATTTTGTACATATTATTTAGCAATTGGAAGTAATTTGTTTTCCTTAAGTCAATTGCCAAAGCAATCATTCGGTATGAATAGAAGGACTATTAACGTACTGAGCTTAACCTTTGAATTCACGTTTTTACAGAATTTATCATTTAGCGGTCACCATTTTTCTGTTTCTCTTTTATAGTTAGCCAAACTTAAAGTCATATTTTACCTTCCATAGCCCCAGTGCTACTGGAAAAGTACAATGAACTTTTAAATCGATATTCTTCAGACACGTATAGTCAGTATAAAATGTTATTAGTATATAAAATGTAGTATATCAAATGTCTTTTGTTTATATTTGTAAAGCCAAATTAAATTATAAATGTATTTATATTGTGAAATATCCACAATGTTGTTTTTAAATAACAATACACACATATAATAAAAATACAAAAATAATGATTAAGTGTTTAGTACAATTCCAATTGCCAAAAAAGAAATGTATACATAAAAATTTACAACCAATAATGATCCATTATGTAGGTTTATAAGACACAGAAGAGATTGGTCAGAATATGGTGTAAATACAAACCATATTTAGTTTTCATCCTAATAGCTTATTGTAAATGTATTTATATTCTCTTGTTTTCTTTTTTTTTCCAATTGTTAACCATTCTGTAAAATTGTAAGGATAATAAACAGATCTATCTATCTGAAACACAAAATTAACAAAATATAGAATATTGTTTATAATACATAATGATAGTACCTGTTTAGTGGAAAGCTCCATTGCTGAAATAATAGTTGGTTC